CCCCTCCTGCTCTCACGGTGCCCTCCTCCCCACCCCCCTGCTCCCACGGTGCCCTCCTCCCCACCCCCCTGCTCCCACGGTGCCCTCCTCCCCACCCCCCTGCCTGCTCCCACGGTGCCCTCCTCCCCACCCCCCTGCTCCCACAGTGCCCTCCTCCCCACCCCCCTGCCTGCTCCCACGGTGCCCTCCTCCCCACCCCCCTGCTCCCACGGTGCCCTCCTCCCCACCCACCTGCTCCCACGGTGCCCTCCTCCCCACCCCCCTGCTCCCACGGTGCCCTCCTCCCCACCTCCCTCCTGCTCCCACGGTGCCTTCCTCCCCACCCCCCTGCTCCCACGGTGCCCTCCTCCCCACCCACCTGCTCCCACGGTGCCCTCCTCCCCACCCCCCTGCTCCCACAGTGCCCTCCTCCCCACCTCCCTCCTGCTCCCACGGTGCCCTCCTCCCCACCCCCCTGCCTGCTCCCACAGTGCCCTCCTCCCCACCCCCCTGCTCCCACGGTGCCCCCCTCCCCACCCCCCTGCCTGCTCCCACGGTGCCCTCCTCCCCACCCCCCTGCCTGCTCCCACGGTGCCCTCCTCCCCACCCCCCTGCCTGCTCCCACGGTGCCCTCCTCCCCACCCCCCTGCCTGCTCCCATGGTGCCCTCCTCCCCACCCCCTCCTGCTCCCACGGTGCCCTCCTCCCCACCCCCCTGCTCCAACGGTGCCCTCCTCACCACCCCCCTGCTCCCACGGTGCCCTCCTCCCCACCCCCTCCTGCTCCCACGGTGCCCTCCTCCCGACCCCCTCCTGCTCTCACGGTGCCCTCCTCCCCACCCCCCTGCTCCCACGGGGCCCTCCTCCCCACCACCCTGCTCTTACGGTGCCCTCCTCCCCACCCCCTCCTGCTCCCACGGTGCCCTCCTCCCCACCTCCCTGCTCCCACGGTGCCCTCCTCCCCACCCCCCTGCTCCCACGGTGCCCTCCTCCCCACCCCCCTGCTCCCACGGTGCCCTCCTCCCCACCCCCCTGCTCCCACGGTGCCTCCTCCCCACCCCCCTGCTCCCACGGTGCCCTCCTCCCCACCCCCTGCTCCCACGGTGCCCTCCTCCCCACCTCCCTGTTCCCACGGTGCCCTCCTCCCCACCCCCTCCTGCTCTCACGGTGCCCTCCTCCCCACCCCCCTGCTCCCACGGTGCCCTCCTCCCCACCCCCTCCTGCTCCCACGGTGCCCTCCTCCCCACCCCCCTGCTCCAACGGTGCCCTCCTCCCCACCCCCCTGCTCCCACGGTGCCCTCCTCCCCACCCCCTCCTGCTCCCACGGTGCCCTCCTCCCCACCCCCCTGCTCCCACGGTGCCCTCCTCCCCACCCCCTCCTGCTCCCACGGTGCCCTCCTCCCCACCCCCCTGCTCCCACGGTGCCCTCCTCCCACCCCCCTGCCTGCTCCCACGGTGCCCTCCTCCCCACCCCCCTGCTCCCACGGTGCCCTCCTCCCCACCCCCTCCTGCTCCCACGGTGCCCACCTCCCCACCCCCCTGCTCCCACGGTGCCCTCCTCCCCACCTCCCTCCTGCTCCCACGGTGCCCTCCTCCCCACCCCCCTGCTCCCACGGTGCCCTCCTCCCCACCCCCCTGCCTGCTCCCACGGTGCCCTCCTCCCCACCCCCCTGCCTGCTCCCACGGTGCCCTCCTCCCCACCCCCTCCTGCTCCCACGGTGCCCTCCTCCCCACCCCCCTGCTCCCACGGTGCCCTCCTCCCCACCCCCCTGCCTGCTCCCACAGTGCCCTCCTCCCCACCCCCCTGCTCCCACGGTGCCCTCCTCCCCACCCCCCTGCTCCCACGGTGCCCTCCTCCCCACCCCCCTGCTCCCACGGTGCCCTCCTCCCCACCCCCTCCTCCTCCCACGGTGCCCTCCTCCCCACCCCCCTGCTCCCACGGTGCCCTCCTCCCCACCCCCCTTCTCCCACGGTGCCCTCCTCCCCACCCCCCTGCCTGCTCCCACGGTGCCCTCCTCCCCACCCCCTCCTGCTCTCACGGTGCCCTCCTCCCCACCCCCCTGCTCCCACGGTGCCCTCCTCCTCACCCCCCTGCTCCCACGGTGCTCTCCTCCCCACCCCCCTGCCTGCTCCCACGGTGCCCTCCTCCCCACCCCCCTGCTCCCACGGTGCCCTCCTCCCCACCCCCCTGCCTGCTCCCACGGTGTCCTCCTCCCCACCCCCTCCTGCTCTCACGGTGCCCTCCTCCCCACCCCCCTGCTCCCACGGGGCCCTCCTCCCCACCACCCTGCTCTTACGGTGCCCTCCTCCCCACCTGCCTGCTCCCACGGTGCCCTCCTCCCCACCCCCCTGCTCCCACGGTGCCCTCCTCCCCACCCCCCTGCTCCCACGGTGCCCTCCTCCCCACCCCCTGCTCCCACGGTGCCCTCCTCCCCACCTCCCTGTTCCCACGGTGCCCTCCTCCCCACCCCCTCCTGCTCTCACGGTGCCCTCCTCCCCACCCCCCTGCTCCCACGGTGCCCTCCTCCCCACCTCCCTGCTCCCACAGTGCCCTCCTCCCCACCCCCCTGCTCCCACGGTGCCCTCCTCCCCACCTCCCCTGCTCCCACGGTGCCCTCCTCCCCACCCCCTCCTGCTCCCACGGTGCCCTCCTCCCCACCTCCCTGCTCCCACGGTGCCCTCCTCCCCACCCCCCTGCTCCCACGGTGCCCTCCTCCCCACCCCCCTGCCTGCTCCCACAGTGCCCTCCTCCCCACCCCCCTGCTCCCACGGTGCCCTCCTCCCCACCCCCCTGCTCCCACGGTGCCCTCCTCCCCACCCCCCTGCTCCCACGGTGCCCTCCTCCCCACCCCCTCCTGCTCCCACGGTGCCCTCCTCCCCACCCCCCTGCTCCCACGGTGCCCTCCTCCCCACCCCCCTTCTCCCACGGTGCCCTCCTCCCCACCCCCCTGCTCCCACGGTGCCCTCCTCCCCACCTCCCTCCTGCTCTCATGGTACCCTCTGCCTCCCTCCACTCCTTCAGCAGCAGGTCCCCTCTGGCCTGTGCCCACCTCTGGGCTCCATCTTGGTGGGGAGAAGGGTCCCCGGGGACCAGGCTGGGGACCCACCCTCTCCTGCTGCCCCGCTGCCCCTTAGGTGTCTCGGGCGCCTTGCACCCGCTCCCACCTCCACACCTGGCCCAGGCCTCTGGCTGTCTGGCCAATCACGGTGTCTTTGTGGAGCTGTCCCTTCCTCTGTCCTCACGTGAACCTGCGGGTCCTTGCTTCGAAGGGCTGGTGGCACGTTCCTGCTTACTGAGCTCGCAGCTCCCCCGCCCGCCAGCCAGCCTGCAGACCCCCCCTCACTGTGGCCTGACCATGTCCTGTGGTGGCCACAAAGGCCACCCATGCCTCCCTCCCTCCCTCCCTCCTTCCTTCCTTCCCTCCCTCCCTCCCTCCCTCCTGGCCTGGGCAGAGGCCCTGGAGACAGGCGGCCCAAGGGGGGCTCCCAGACTGGGCAGAGGGTGGAGGGGAGGGGATTACAGGGCCTGGGGTGGGTGTGGGTGTTGCACAAAGCCAGCCCTGTGTGTCCCCTGAATGCCCAGCTTTGTCCCAGGCCCCAGCAGACAGACTTGGGCCTTGCACAATCGGGCTGGGCCGCCCGGGGCTCTGGACGGGCCTCGCCTGGGGAGACAGGAGGTATGGCCACGGGGGAGTGGTCCCAGGCCTGGCCCTTGCGTGACCCGGGCTCTGTCGTTCCCTTGGGAGTGTGAGTGTCCCACAGGCAGCGACGGGCCTCGGGCAGGCCTCACCAGAAGTGACGTCCTGGGAGGAGCAGCTCTGACTTGGTGGCGCTTCTGTGCCTTGTGTGGTGGAGAAGGGGTGAGGGGCGGCGGGCGCTGGAGGCTGGCAGGGACTTCTGGGGGGGAAGCCGCCACCCACCGGCACACCTGGGGCACATCGGTCTAGTCAAAGCTTCGGAGAAAACCACGCTGGTGGCAGGAGGGGGTTGGCCTCCCAGGCGTGATGGCTGGGGCCAGGCCCGGGCCGGCAGGAGGCTGGCAGTGGCCTGGGATTTGAACCTGTGTCTCTGGGATCCCTCCCTCAGCTAATTGCTTAGTGCCCGGGGGCGGGGCGACGGGAGGAGGAAGGGCACCAGGGAGCCGTCTGTCCACTGCGAGCGCCCCCTCTGAAGACCCCGCCCCTTGCCGGTGGCTCCCACCAGTGGCGGAGGCCCCGGCTGGCCTGCGTCCGCAGAGCCACCTCCCTGGGCAGGACCAACACAGCCTCTTCCCTTCCCACCCAGGAGGCTTTCCTCCCGAGCAGCGCTGCCCCCGAGGGCTGAGCGCCCGCTCAGGCGGGCAGCCGCGCCCCCCTGGGAGCTGGTGTTTGCTGGGGGTGTGCCCTTGGTGTTGAGGTGGCACTGTCAGGGTGGTGTCTGTGTCGGAGGTTGAGCTGGTGTTTGGTGGGGTGTAGGAAGTTGGGTGTTGCCTGTTGGGGTATAGGATATCAGGGTGTTGGTGGTGGAGGTGGAGGGGTATCCGGGTGTTGTCTGTTAAGGTACAGGAGTTTCAAGGTGTGTCTCCTTGGGGCTAGGTTGAGTGCTGTCTGCCAGAGCATTGGGGTTTCTAGGCATCTTTGGTGGGATGTAGTTGTGTTGGGTGTGAGAGTGTGGAGGCGTGCTCTGGTTGTGCACGCATGCACACACATGCACACAACCCTGCACATATGTTCCTGGTTTCACGGTACCCGACTCTGGCTTCCTTCCACACCGTTGGCCCGTGGGCTCTTCTCGCTGCCCCTGCCCGGCCAGGTACCCAGGTCCTGTTCCATGGTCTCCACGCAGTCTTTCCCTGCTGGGGCCCTGGCCCGGCGTGCCCTCCGCTGCTCACGGGAGACGGTGTGAACCTCCCCCTGCACCCTCATGGCCTGCCTAGTCCATGGGGGATGGGGGGGGGGGGGTGAGCTGCAGTCCTGCAGGGGTGGGGGCGGGGGTGGTGAGCTGCAGCCTCCACCCGAGTCTCACGTGTACCCTGTCTCCACAGCCGAGCTGGAGTTCGTGCAGATCCTGGTGATCGTGGTGGTGATGATGGTGATGGTGGTGGTGATCACGTGCCTGCTGAGCCACTACAAGCTGTCCGCCCGCTCCTTCATCAGCCGGCACGGCCAGGAGAGGAGGAGAGAGGACGGCCTTTCCTCGGTGAGTGGCCGGCCCGGTACGCGTCTGAGCCCAAAGCCAAGGCTAGAAGAGAAGCCGCCTGGCGTGGTCTGGAGCAGACCCTGGGGCCAGGCAGACAGCTTTGAGATGCCAGGTGGCCTCCGCCTTGTGCCAGCACTGCGGACCTCATGGCTGGGAGGAGGAGGCTTCCGAGCAGGAAGGCCTTGGTGCGCGTACGCTGTGCGGGGAGTGGGGAGCAGGGAGTGAATCGCAGGGGCCAGCATCGCCCAGCCAGGGCTGACCCGGGCGGGACTGGAACAGCAGACGGGAGACCGCTGCAGCTGGCCACCACGGGACTGGAGTTCTGGGGACTTCAGAGATCTGGGGCCGAGGGACAGGTAGCCCATGGACCGCTGGATAGATCTGCTGAGCCCCCTGTGCACCAGGCTGGGACCGGGGGACGGGCCCGGCCCGGGGCTGCAGGCAGCAAGACTAGCGGGTAGAGATGGGGCCGCCCCCAGTGGGCCAGGCTCCGATGCAGACGGGTTGCGGGAGAGGGCAGAGACCCAGCCACCGGCCTCCTTATCCTGGGAGGCTCAACCTCCGCAGCCTCCGCTCAGAAGTGTTCCAAAGCAGGTTGTGCATCTGCTCCAGACGCAGATGTGTCCCTTGCCATTCCCTAAACAGGGCAGGGTTGTAAGCCAGGGCCCTCGAGAAGGCCCAGGCTCCAGGCTGGGGACTCCTGTTTCCTAGCAGAGGCCAAGCATCTGCAGATTTGACGCTGCTGGCCTGGAACCATCTTCACGGTGCCAAGAGCCCTCATCACCAGCACCTGTTGGTCCGGGGCTCCTGGAGATGAACTCAGCCTAGAACTTGCTGGGCAGACACTGCCAGTCAAGTCATGTCCCCTGCACCACCCCCGCCCCCTTTTTGGCCTTAGTTATTTCTCAGACAGGGTCTCATCTCTGCCAAGGGCCACCTGCAGGCCACAGCCCTCCTGCCCAGGGTCCTCGGGATCTGGGGGCCACCACAGCCAGCTTACTGATTGAGATAGGGTCTCACTACCTTTTTGCCTAGAACTTGAGTCACTAGGATTACAGGTAGGAGCACTGTACCCAGCAGCCACCGTTGTGTAGGTAGGACGTGCTGGTATATGTGTGTGTGTGTCCTTGTGCTGGTCCTGGGGCTTGAACTTGGGCCCTGGGCATTCTCCCTGAGCTTTTCACTCAAGGCAAGCACTCTACCACTTGAGCCACAGCCTGACTTCCTGTTTTGTGGTAGTTAACTACAGCTTAGAGTCTCATGGACTTCCCTACTGGGCTGTCTTTGAACTGTGATCCCCCAGATCTCAGCCTCTTGAGTGGCTAGGATTACAGGCGTGAGCCACTGTGCCTGGTGCCCATGTTGTGTGTTTTGATGTGTTGGAATGCGGGCACTCCCACGTTATCTCCTTGAAACCACATGTTGAGGCCTTGGCGTGGGGGGCAGGCATCCAGTGGCTGAGAACTTTCTCCATCTGTGAGGCCCAGGGCCGGCTGAGGGGGCTCTGTCTTGCTGTTGAGTGTTTGGAACAGATGCGCATTTCTGCAGCTGGGTTCAGTGTTTCACGGAGGGAGACTGGAAGTCACCAAAGCCTAGGCAGGCCGGGTGACAGGAGCAGCAGCCTGTCCCCAAAGCTGGGGGCCCCCAGGTGCCAGGACGGCAGGGCCAGGGCTGGCCGCGTTCCCGGGGACGCCTGGGGCTGGCAGTGCCACCCAGGATCTCTGCGCTGAGCCAAGGGGTGTTGGCCTCTGCCCGAGCGGGCGGGGCCGCCCCAGGCAGGTCGGGGCACCTCTGCAGGCGTCGGGCCCGGCCTCGGTGCGTCACCCCACTGGCAGGACAAGAGCTCCGGCTCTGGCAGCGGTGGCAGGGACGTGGTCAGTCCCCACCCAGGCCCGGCGTGCATCTTGAGGGCCAGCGGCCTCCGCCCAACACGTCCACGTGCTGCCAGCCCGGAGCCCCCGGCTGGTGTTTGCTGTCCCCGTCACCCAGCAACGACGGGCGCTGCCGGCTGCGTGACGACTGATCCATGTGTCCTGGCTGCGGTCGGCCATGGCCGGGGTTGGCCCCGCTTCGAGGGAGAAGCTGGGGCTTCTGGAGACGGGACTCTAGCCCGAGTCCAAGAGCTTGTCCAAGCCGCGGAAGCCCGGAGCTGGTGGGGAGCACCAAGTGTGGGAAGAGCAGAGGGAAGCCCGGAGGTGGAGCTGGCCCTTGAGGGCGTGGGGGGCAAACGGTCGGCCGGCGGCTCCCAGCTCGGCCATGCCTGATTTCTGGGGCACCTGCGGGCTGAAGAAGAGCCCCCCCTTTGCCGATGGGCTGATCGCAGGGTGCCTGGGACACCTGGCCGGGTAAACACCACGTCTAGTGAGGACCAACCCGGACAGTGGCTCCCTGCGAGTCCCCTCCCACACGAGCCTCAGCTGAGGAGTCTCTGCGCCTCGTGGCCTCTGGAGAGACCCCACGCGGCCGCCAGACCTGCGCCCTGTCTGTCCACTCCGGCTAGCCCCTGACATGGCTTCCAGCTGTGGCTGCTTTTCAGGAAAACTTGGGGACCCCTATCCTCACTGTGTGGAGCCACAACTCCGCCCGCCCCGCCCCGCCCCGCCCCGCCCTGGGCACTGGGGACAGGTGCACAGGAGGGCCCGAGACGGTGCTGAAGTCAGTCCTGACGCAGCCCCCCCCCCCCCCAGCTGCGTCGGGGAAGAAGGACACCTCACGCTGGGACACGGGAACACGTGGAGGCTGAGGACGCATCCCAGGCTTCCTTCCCTGCCCACACAAGGCTGTCATGCTGCTGGAGCTGGCAGAAGCTGCCCGGCATCCCAGCCGCCTTTCCCCGCTCAGCCAGGGTCTGGGATGAGGAAACCCCGTGTCCTCCTCTCGGTCCCCAAATAGGTCCTCAGATCTCCGCTGGCTCTCCTCCCAGGCCCAGCCACAGGCAAGGTCCGCCCAGAGGCCTCCGGTGTCCCGGCCCACCCCAGGCCTGGGGCCAGGCTTCTTCCCTGTCCATTGTCACTACCGCCTGCCACCACCGTGTGTCTGCCAGGCGGTGGCTTGTGGGGCTGGAGGGTATGATCTTGGCATTGGGGGCCGAGGCTGGGGGGGGGGAGGCTGAGGCTCTGGAGTGGGGGCGAGGCTCTGGGGTAGGGGCGAGGCTCAGGGGGGGCCGAGGCTCTGGGGGGGCGAGGCTCTGAGGGGGGGCCGAGGCTCTGGGGGGGCTGAGGCTCTGGGGGGGCGAGGCTCTGGGGGGGGGCGAGGCTCTGGGGGGGGGGCCGAGGCTCTGGGGGGGCCGAGGCTCAGGGGGGGGCCGAGGCTCTGGGGGGGCCGAGGCTCTGGGGGGGGCCGAGGCTCTGGGGGGGCCGAGGCTCTGGGGGGGGGCGAGGCTCTGGGGGGGCCGAGGCTCTGGGGTGGGGGCAAGGCTCTGGGGTGGGGGCGAGGCTCTGGGGGGGCGAGGCTCTGGGGGGGGCTGAGGCTCTGGGGGGGGGCGAGGCTCTGGGGGGGGCTGAGGCTCTGGGGGGGGGCGAGGCTCTGGGGGGGCGAGGCTCTGGGGGGGCCGAGGCTCTGGGGGGCCGAGGCTCTGGGGGGCCGAGGCTCTGGGGGGGCGAGGCTCTGGGGTGGGGGCGAGGCTCTGGGGGGGCCGAGGCTCTGGGGGGCCGAGGCTCTGGGGGGGGCCGAGGCTCTGGGGGGGGCGAGGCTCTGGGGGGGCGAGGCTCTGGGGGGGGGCTGAGGCTCTGGGGGGCCGAGGCTCTGGGGGGGCGAGGCTCTGGGGGGGGGCGAGGCTCTGGGGGGGCAAGGCTCTGGGGGGGCCGAGGCTCTGGGGTGGGGACGAGGCTCGGGGGGGCCGAGGCTCGGGGGGGGGGCCGAGGCTCTGGGGGGGCGAGGCTCTGGGGGGGGGCTGAGGCTCTGGGGGGCCGAGGCTCTGGGGGGGGCTGAGGCTCTGGGGGGGGCGAGGCTCTGGGGGGGACTGAGGCTCTGGGGGGGGGCTGAGGCTCTGGGGGGGACTGAGGCTCTGGGGTGGGGGCGAGGCTCTGGGGGGCCGAGGCTCTGGGGGGGGCCTTGGCTCTGGGGTGGGGGCGAGGCTCTGGGGGGGCCGAGGCTCTGGGGGGGGCCGAGGCTCTGGGGGGGGCCGAGGCTCTGGGGGGGCCGAGGCTCTGGGGGGGGGCCGAGGCTCTGGGGGGGGGGGTGAGGCTCTGGGGGGGGGGGCGAGGCTCTGGGGGGGGGGCGAGGCTCTGGGGGGGGGGCCGAGGCTCTGGGGTGGGGGCGAGGCTCTGGGGTGGGGGCGAGGCTCTGGGGTGGGGGCGAGGCTCTGGGGGGGGCGAGGCTCTGGGGGGGGCGAGGCTCTGGGGGGGGCCGAGGCTCTGGGGGGGGTGAGGCTCTGGTGGCTGGGGGCGAGGCTCTGGGGGGGGGGGCGAGGCTCTGGGGGGGGGGGGCCGAGGCTCTGGGGGGGCCGAGGCTCTGGGGGGGGACCGAGGCTCTGGGGGGGGCCGAGGCTCTGGGGGGCCGAGGCTCTGGGGAGGAGGGACCAGCCGTGTGGCTCTGAGTCTGGGGTCGAGGCAGGCACTGCGCCCCACCCAGCTGACCGCTGTGTCCCGTTCCAACCTGCAGGAGGGGTGTCTCTGGCCCTCAGAGAGCACGGCGTCCGGAGGCGGGATCCCCGAGGTGAGACCCACACCACATCCCCCACCAGCCACATCCCCACTGGCCACGTCTCCTGCCCAGCCACGTCCCCTGCCCAGCCACGTCCCCTGCCCAGCCATGTCACCCACCGGCCACATCCCCACCGGCCACATCCCCTGCCCAGCCACATCCCCACCGGCCACATCCCCTGCCCAGCCATGTCCCCTGCCCAGCCACATCCCCCGCCGGCCACGTCCCCTGCCCAGCCACATTCCCCGCCGGCCACGTCCCCTGCCCAGCCATGTCACCCACAGGCCACATTCCCCGTCAGCCACGTCCCCTGCCCAGCCACATCCCCCACCGGCCACGTCCCCTGCCCAGCCATATCACCCACAGGCCACATTCCCCGCCAGCCACGTCCCCTGCCCAGCCACATCCCCCACCGGCCACGTTCCCTGCCCAGCCACATCCCCCACCGGCCACGTTCCCTGCCCAGCCACGTCCCCCACCAGCCACGTCCCCTGCCCAGCCACATCCCCTGCCCAGCCATGTCCCCCACTAGCCATGTCCCCCACTAGCCACATCCCCTGCCCAGCTGTGTCCCCCACCAGCCACGTTCCCCACCAGCCACGTCCCCCACCAGCCATGTCCCCCACCAGCCACGTCCCCCACCAGCCACGTCCCCCACCAGCCATGTCCCCCACCAGCCATGTCCCCCACCGGCCACGTCCCCCACCGGCCATGTCCCCCACTGGCCACGTCCCCTGCCCAGCCCTTGCCCAGCCCACTCCCCTGCCCTCCTGTGCTGATGCCATGGCCACCCTGTGCCAGGGCCAAGGCCTGACCTCAGAGGCTGCTGCCACACAGCCTCTACCACACAGCCTCACTCCTGCTACTGACACCCTCCACACCTCTACCCATACCCCACCCCATGCCCTCCACACCCCACCCCACGCCCTCCACACCCCACCCCATACCCTCACCCCACGCCCTCCACACCCCACCCCATACCCTCACCCCACACCCTCCACACCCCACCCCATACCCTCACCCCACGCCCTCCACACCTCACGCCCTCCACACCCCACGCCCTCCACACCCCACCCCATACCCTCACCCCACACCCTCCACACCCCACCCCACGCCCTCCACACCCCACCCCATACCCCACCTCACGCCCTCCACACCCCACACCATACCCTCACCCCACACCCTCCACACCCCACACCATACCCTCACCCCACACCCTCCACACCCCACGCCCTCCACACCCCACGCCCTCCACACCCCACCCCACTCCCTCCACACCCCACCCCATACCCCACCCCACGCCCTCCACACCCCACCCCATACCCCACCTCACGCCCTCCACACCCCACACCATACCCTCACCCCACGCCCTCCACACCCCACGCCCTCCACACCCCACCCCATACCCCACCCCACCCCATACCCTCACCCCACACCCTCCACACCCCACCCCATACCCCACCCCACCCCATACCCTCACCCCACACCCTCCACACCCCACCCCACACCCTCCACACCCCACCCCACGCCCTCCACACCCCACCCCATACCCCACCCCACCCCATACCCTCACCCCACACCCTCCACACCCCACCCCACGCCCTCCACACCCCACCCCATACCCCACCCCACCCCATACCCTCACCCCACACCCTCCACACCCCACCCCACGCCCTCCACACCCCACGCCCTCCACACCCCACCCCACACCCTCCACACCCCACCCCATACCCCCACCCCACGCCCTCCACACCCCACCCCAAACCCCACCCCACCCCACGCCCTCCACACCCCACACCCTCTACCCCTCACTGCGCTTCTGCCCCTGCCCACGCCCTCCTCACCCCTCCTCCCCCTCTCCAGCCCCAGGTCTACGCCGCGCCCCGGCCCGTGGACCGCCTGGCAGTGCCCAGCTTCGCCCGGAGGGAGCGACTCCACCGCTTCCAGCCCACCTACCCGTACGTGCAGCACGAGATCGACCTGCCGCCCACCATCTCCCTGTCGGATGGCGAGGAGCCCCCGCCCTACCAGGGCCCCTGCACCCTGCAGCTCAGGGACCCCGAGCAGCAGCTGGAGCTGAACCGAGAGTCGGTGCGCGCTCCCCCCAACAGAACCATCTTCGACAGCGACCTGCCGGCCGGGACGGTGCCAGGCGGGCCCTGCGCCCCCAGCAGCCACTCGGGCATCAGCGCTGCAAGCTACAGCGGCGGCGGGCGCATGGAGGGGCCGCCCCCCGCCTACAACGAGGTCATCGCCCACTACCCACGCCCCTTCCAGCACCAGCAGAGCCCCGGGCCACCCTCCCTGCTGGAGGGACTCCACGCACCCCACCTCACCCCCCTGGAAAGCAAGGAGGACAAGCAGAAAGCTCAGCCCCTCTAGGAGCCGCGCGCGGCTGTAGGAAGAAACAAACGACAAAAACAAAACAAAACAAGGCAAACACTCTGCACTGGAGAGAAGAGGGGCGCCCCAACTCCACGTATAAATATTTACATGTTCTGTCGGGTCTAAATGCACAGCTCCGAAAGCTTGCAAAAAAGCAAAAAAAAAACAAAAAAAAACCACACAAAAAAAACATGTTTCAAGCCACATCGTGAAAGCAAAAAAGGAAAAAAAAAACCATTCTATAGTAGTCTCTTTTTTTTAGTTGAGCTGTGTGCACGAATGCTTAATTTTTTTCGTTAATGATGGTTTCACTTAACTTTAAAGACATATTTGCACAAAACCTTTGTTTAAAGATCTGCAATATTATATATATATAAATATAAATCTATATAAACTAAGAGAAACTGTATGGGGGGCAGGAGTATTTTTGTATTAGAAGAGGCTTATTGAAAGGAGTTGTTTTCCGAACTCGAAGAGGAAAGAAAAAGGCAATTTTTGAGTGCCAACTCAAAGTGTGTATTACCTTGTAAAGAAAAAAAAATATACAAAGCAGGGGTCTAGAGTTATTTATATAAATGTCGAGATTTTGCACTATTTTTTAATATAACTATGTCAGTGCTTGTTGGATGGAAAGTTCTATTGTGTCTGTCGAGACGTCTGCCAGGCAGGGGTGTCCCCTGGTCTCCTGGTCCCTTTGTCCCTGGTCCCCTCATCTCTCCCCCGTCCCCCTCCCCCTCCCCCTCCCCCGTCCTCCTCCCTACCCTCCGTCCCCCATCCCCTCGGTCTGGAGAGGCCCTGGCAGAAGGGCACCCCGTCCTGCACAGTACACATTCCCGAGAGGGGACACATTTCCCCACTGGACCAGGGGGACCCTCGGATTGTGGGCAAAAAGAAGCGCGAAGCCCTCTGAGGCACCAGCCTCCTGGAGGTGGTTTTGGGGTGGGGTTTTTTTTGTTTTGTTTTGTTTTGTTTTTGTTTTTGCCTTTTCGCAAATGAAAATAAACTCTTCTTGAAGGAGTCTTCGTTTTTCTTCCTCTTGGATAAGCTAGGAGAGCCTGCTGGGTAAGTGGGCACTGCCGGCCCCACGCCCTGGCCAGGCGGGGCCGCAGGGCGTGGGCACGGTGGCTCTGGCCAGAGCAGGCTGCCTGGGTGGCACTCAGTGCCCTCGGCACAGGGCCCAGGTGTTAGAATTTGGTCTCACCACAGCCTCATCTTTCATTGTATGTAACAGAGAAACAGGTGCCCCCCCCCCCCGGCCCAAGAGGCCATGGAGGAGCCAGGGTCGCTCCCAGAATCCAAAGAGGGGTTCCCTTGGGAGAAGAGAAAAGCCAGGCCATGCACCCCTTCTCCCAGGCGTCCACGTTCCTTCCCACCTGCAAATGGTTCGGTTTGGGGATGTTTGTTTATCAGTGTTTCCATCGCAACGCGGCAGCCCTCAGCTCGGGTCTCGTTAGCAGGCCCCGAGCTGGGGGTGCACTCAGGCACCCTGCCAGTGGCAGGTGGGGTCGGCAAGGGGCAGCGGGGAGCCACCTGCCACCACTCCTGTGCCAGAGGCATCTGACTCACCTGAGTGCTAGTGAGCGCGCTAAGCGGCCTCTTCCCTGAAAATCAGCCCGTTTTGAAAGCTTGCCCGCGGGCCTCTGCGGGTGGATGTGGATTCTTCTAGTCTCCGGTAGCCCAGGCTGGAACCTACTTGCTCTGCAGCTTGGCCAGCCCCGAGCTTCCCGCGCACACCTGCTCTCCACGCTTCTAAACAGGGTTCTCAGGGCCGGGTGCCCGTGCGCACGCCTGTCATCCTAGCGACTCAGGAGGCTGGGATGTGAGGACTGCATCTCGAAGCCAGCTAAGAAAACAGTAGGGTTTGCTGTGGCCGCTGCGGGGTCCCCTGGCCTGGGCGCCCTCCGTGTCTGCCCTGTGTGGAAAGCGTCTGTTGCCTGGGGGGGGTCAGGTGCCCTCTTGTCTGGGGCCAGGTGTTCCTGGACAGGGTCACACCGAGGCCTGTCCACAAAGGGCGGCTGCTGTGTCCACGTCGCAGTGCCCCGCCCCGCCCTGCCCACCTCCCTTCACTCACCAGCAGCGTGTGACCGTCTGTGGACCTCAGGCCCAGCCCGGAGGGCCCCCTGCGGTTTGAGTCTTACGCCCAGTGGTGCAGCTGTGTGTCCTGCCTGTGAAGAGGGCGGGGAGGGGGGAGGCTGCCCAGGCCTGAGGGCAGGGGCACCCCTTGAAGGTCGTGCCCTGTGGGTGCTGGCGGGAGGGTCCGGGAGGGCCGGCCAAGGCCGCTGGCTCGTGCCTGTGATCCTGGCTGTGATCCAGGAGGCAGAGATCGGAGGACCGCGGTGCAAAGCCAGACCTCGGTAGGAAAGCCTGTGAGACTCGGATCTCCAACGGACCAGCGAAAAGCCAGAAGCGGCGCTGGGCCAGGCTGGAGAGGAAAAGCCGAGGGACGGTGCCCGGTGCCCGGCTGAGCTCAAGCCCTGTGACCCGTGGGGCCCAGGACGCCGCTCCGGGCCTGGGCCGCTGCAGCGTTCGCTGGGGTCCCGGGAGAGGCTGAGGGGGCCTGGCTGGCCTGGGGGTGTCTGCAGCTCCAGCCCAAGTTCAGAGATGGGAGCAGCCTCACCGGCGCTCAGCCCCTCCCGCCGTCGGGGGAAGATTGGTCTCCTGAGAAAGGCCAGGTCCGCGTGGGTGCCAGCCTCTCTCCAGAGTCCCGGGCGGTCCAGGTTTGAGGCTAAGGCCAGCTCGCTCCGTAGCAGAGCCAGGGCTGGGTGGGGCGGGGTGCCATCCTGGGGGCCCAGGACTGGGCTTCAGCCTGTGGTTTCCAGCATCTAGAGCCAGAATCGCACATCTGCCCCCAGCAGAAGGAAGGCCGCCCCGGTGAGGGGGGGGGGGGGAGGAAGGGGAAAGGGAGAGGGGGGAGGGAGAAGAGGAGGAAGGGGAAGGGGAGGGAGAGGAGGAGGTGGAAGAGGAGGGGGAGGGGGAGGGGGAGGAGGAGGGAAGGGAGGGGGAGGAGGGTGCGTGTGCCTTTCCGTGTTTCCTGTTTGGATGCCAGCTTGGAATCCGTGTGGCTCCCAGGGCCTCTGCCCCTCCGCCGGCCCTAGGGCGGCCAGAAGTGCTCAGCACGGCTGGCTGTGCAGCCCAGGGCTGGACGGAGCACTCTCCTGTGCAGTCTGGCCGAGTCTGCGCTAACCCCAGAACTCAGCACACGCCAGCGGCCAGAGCTCAGCACACGCCAGCGGCGCCAGACCTCAGCACATGCCAGCGGCCGGAGCTCAGCACACGCCAGCGGCGCCGGGCCTGGGAGACGGCTTGCCGTGTCCCCTCGTCACTGCGCGGTCACGGTGACATTCGGGAAAGCTGCAACACTTGCCAATAAAGGGCGCCGCTCTGGAGCCAGGCCTCTCCTTTTGTCCTCTCAGGTGGGTTGCTCACCCTGTGGCCCTGCCCCCTTCTCCCTGCAGGCAGTGGAGGAGGAAAGGGTGTGCGGCTGCTGTGCAGCTTTAATAATGTGCTCAACCTCTCTGTTTAGTTCAGGCAGCCCTGGAGATCCCAGTGGAAACCCCTCTCTGGCGGGGGCTCACGCCGGTAAGCCTAGCTCCTCAGGAAGCTGAGGTCTGAGGATAGAGGCTCAGGGTCAGCCTGGGCAGGAATGTCCATGAGACTCGTATCTCTAATGAATCACCAAAAAGCTGAAAATGGAGGTATGGCTCAAGTGGTAGAACGCCAGCCTTGAGTATAAAAGCTAAGGGACAGCACCCAGTGTCTGAGTTCAAGGCCCAGTACTGGCACGAAGGGAAAGAATAGCAGGAGGCCTCAGCCTCAGCAGCAGGAACCCCTCGCCCGTCTGAGGGCAGGAAGCCGGGCTCCCCCGGAGCAGCCACGCCTGCCGCGCTCTTCCCAGCACCGCGTGGCTCAGCCCTCAGGCTGCATGGGCGTGCGGGCGTCCTGCGGGGAGGGGGCTCCTCGGCAGTGGGGGGCGGGGCTGCCCCCTCCCTCCAGTCCTGACCCCAGCTGGCATTGGCCGAAGTGACTTCAGCTTCCAGGCTCAGGTATGGCCAAGACAGAACATTCCAGACATGAAGAAGTGGGCGCTGGCGCTGGGCAGAACCCGTGGGGCCGTGCCAGCTGGTGCGGCTTTGTTCAGCACTTTGTTCTGAAAGCAAAAGAACTTTTTCTAAAAATAAAGCAAAGTATGACCAAAAGCTTCGTCGTCAAACGATGTGGGACAAAATTTATCTGAACATACAAATGATTTTTTAAATCAGCCTGTTTCTGTGCAGCTCACTCCTGTGGCTGCCGTGGTGCTGGGTACTGGGTGCTGTGATTCTGTGGTGCTGTGGTGCTGAGTGCTGTGGTGCTGGGTGCTGTGATTCTGTGGTGCTGTGGTGCTGAGTGCTGCAGTGCTGCGGTGCTGTGGTGCTGGGTGCTGTGGTGCTGAGTGCTGTGGTGCTGAGTGCTGTGGTGCTGGGTGCTGTGGTGCTGTGGTGCTGAGTGCTGTGATTATGTGATCCTGTGGCGCTGAGATTATGTGATCCTGTGGCCCTGAGACTATGTGGTTCTGTGGTGCTGAGATTATGTGGTTCTGTGGTGCTGAGATTATGTGATCCTGTGGTGATGAGATTATGTGATCCTGTGGCCCTGAGACTATGTGATCCTGTGGCCCTGAGATTATGTGATCCTGTGGCCCTGTGATTATGTGATCCTGTGCCCCTGTGATTATGTGATCCTGTGGTGCTGAGATTATGTGGTTCTGTGGCCCTGTGATTATGTGATCCTGTGGTGCTAAGATTATGTGGTTCTGTGGTGCTGAGATTATGTGGTTCTATGGTGCTGAGATTATGTGATCCTGTGGTGCTGAGATTATGTGGTTCTGTGGCCCTGTGATTATGTGATCCTGTGGCCCTGAGACTATGTGATCCTGTGGCCCTGTGATTATGTGATCCTGTGCCCCTGTGATTATGTGATCCTGTGGTGCTGAGATTATGTGGTTCTGTGGCCCTGTGATTATGTGATCCTGTGGCCCTGTGATTATGTGATCCTGTGGCGCTGAGATTATGTGGTTCTGTGGTGCTGAGATTATGTGATCCTGTGGTACTGAGATTATGTGGTTCTGTGGTGCTGAGATTATGTGATCCTGTGGCCCTGAGACTATGTGATCCTGTGGCCCTGAGATTATGTGATCCTGTGGTGCTGAGATTATGTGGTTCTGTGGTGCTGTGATTATGTGATCCTGTGGTGCTGAGATTATGTGGTTCTGTGGCCCTGTGATTATGTGATCCTGTGGTGCTGAGGTTATGTGGTTCTGTGGTGCTGAGATTATGTGATCCTGTGGTGCTGAGATTATGTGGTTCTGTGGTGCTGGCTGCTCAGTCCTCTCCCTCTGGGGCCTCCTCCCTTGCCGCTCCCCGCCCCCCTCAGAACTGAGCCCAGGGCTAAAATCATGATGGGATTCTCAGCTCATTAAAAGGCTTTTTATTGAGCTCAAAATAATTAAATGTGTCTGTGAGAGCATCTAGCCTAACTCGGTGGGCGCATTCCAAATGATTTTCTTCTCCTGAGACAGGGTCTCGCTATGCAGCCAGCCTGGCCTGGGACTCACGGTCCTCTGCCACAGCCTGGAGAGCCAGGCTCATGGGCCTGGCCTCCAGGGCCGGCTTAGAAATGAACTTTTGAGTGTCATACTCAAGAGGCTGAGATCTGAGTTCAGAATTCAAAGCCAGCCTGGGCAAGAAAGTCCGTGAGTCTCTTATCTCTAATTAACCACCAAAAACCCTGACTGGAGCTGTGGCTCAAGTGGCAAAGTGCCAGCTTTAAACAAAAAAGCCAAGAGGGAGTGCAAGGCCCTGGTTCCAGCCCCAGAACTCAGCACAAGAAAAAAAGTGATTTTTATAACTTATTTTTATTTTTATTGTTTGATCATTGGCTTGAACTCTGGGCCTGGGCGCTGTCCCTCAGCTCTTCAGCTCAAGGCGAGTGCTCTACCACCTGAGCCACAGCGCCACTTCCAGTTTTCTGGTGGTTTAT